AGAAAGCAAAGAGACCAATAATGAATACTTGATGCTCGTGATTTCATTTGTACTCAACATTTTCAAACCACTAATAGCGGTTTTGTTCACGTTTTCGAAATTTATGCTAACCAATTACAGTCATGACTTCACTCACATTAAAAAAGGTAATTCGAAATTGGAACCAACCAATTACATTAATACTCACAGTACAAACGGAGTTCGTAAATTGAACTGACCAATTACGTGAATTTATTCACAGTGATAAAGAGTTCATACCTAAAATCGACCAATGACAGCGCTCAATAGCTAATGGTCGAAAATTGCTACATTGAAATAAGAATACAATCTCCTTATAGAAGATTACAAACTCTTCGACAGTCATTGTTGGCCATGATCATGGGATTTGTAGAGAGCTTGAAACCACTGTAATAAGACAAATATAGTAACGCCATACAAAATACAAAACGCAGCAGCGTGCTTTGTATGTGTGCACGCCCGCCGCGTGCCGTATACGGAGACGCACACATTCGCAACAGCATCCTAACGCAATTTTTGAGATATATACATGTTTTTTGCTATTTTTTTTATTTTTTATTCCATATTCATTTATTACACAATGAGTATGCTCGTACAATACAAACTACAAGTGGGATTAAATTGGTACATAAAATTGGGTCTCCGCGGCAAGGTGCCCAAGATGCTGGCCCCCTTTGTATGGCTATGCTAATGCGTTGGGCGAGGTAGGCCCTTGGGTTTCCCGAAAAATCTATTAAATTTTTGTATAAAATTTTGTATCGATGAAGAACCCTGGGATCCCACGACCCAAGGTTTCTATCTATGTTAGTTATTACGTGCAATATACAAAAGTGGTGTAGATAGAAAGTCTGCGGAAAATGTTGAAATGAATTTTGTAAAACAGTTTGTTGACATTAGCTTCAAACCAGATATCGTCAGGCTAGCTGCACGCAATACATGTTCTCAATCTGTGACACTCATCGAGTATATAACCACAAAATAGAGACGAAATGTCATTCAATTTGTTTGAAAACTATTCTGCCATATCATTACTGTGACAGCTGCGCTCCGATTGGCCAGCCCGTATTCGAAACAATTGACGGGTGTCGTCAATTGTTTCTCTTCAAATCGACCAGTTACCTTGAGCTTTGCTATAATGGACGACAATTACAATATTACATATTTAATTACCGATGAAATTTGATTCCGTTTGTTTTGTAATTAGATGTTTGCTGTTTTTCTCCACACCACCGAATGGAACAGCACGCGAGAAATATTATTTTTATTACAATAAATACAGAATGTTTTTGGAATATACGGACGGAGACGTACACACAGGTCAGTTGTTGGCGCTGTACTATTTCAGCTTTCTGATTTGTAATTTCAGTGTAAACGAGAGTTGATATTTATAAGTGATGTATGACTGATGAGTTACCAGGAACGTATGGATATTTCGTCTCTATTTCTTGTTATATAATAATATAATAATAATAACGCACACACTCAACATAGCCCCGCACTAGGGAAACCCTGTGTCGCGGGTGCCATGGACACACACATAGACAACCACAAATTACACCCAAACTCACGAGAGAAATAAATGTAGGTCATACAAATATTTCTCCCGGCCCGGGAATCGAACCTGGGACCTCTGCGTGGCAGTCCGGTATGGTAACCGTTCGACCACGGAGGCAGTTACTCGTTAGTGCGGCTTCACCGGGCGGTCAGTGAACGACGAACCTTTGATAACCGCGATTAATCGTCTAGACACGTTGGAGACATCACGTGACGTAATCTTTAATTTATTTTCAACGAAATATAGACACTGGCACATTTAACGGAAAAAAACAAAGCGAGATTATAAAATAGTGAAGTTTAATATTAAACAACGTCACAAACGTTGCCCTGATCCCAAAGTATGTAACTAAAGCACTTCTGTTATGTAAATCGGAAACAACAACGGTACCACTAACACCCATACCCGAGACTATGTAGAAAAAATTTCGAACGCGGGATCTTAGAGATGGCGATGCCATTAAAATCGGTTTACTAGCCACTCGACCACAAAATTCGCTAATATTGAAATAAATGTGCGTCATACGTAAAGCTGCGATTATATTGACATGTTTTAACATCGACTTAGTTACAGTCTTACTTAACCTTTATTGAAAAAATAACGGAAATTAAACAAAATGCATTTCTTAACGCTTTGTCACATGAAAATCTAAATATCAGTTTAACATTGATTCTATCAAATTTACCAAATAAAAAAAAAAACGCTTTTTCAGCTAATGTTTACGAAATTTACCAAATCTGTATCAGTAGGAATTTGATGGCATGTAGTAAATGATCATTTTAAATTTGCAAAAGCAGCAAGCAAAAAAATCTGAACACTCATCTTTTTTAATGATTGATCCTCTTTCTCTGAGATGTAAAATAAGTTGAACCGATGGATATTTCAATCTGTTCAGAGCTACGCAAAAAAATTTTGATTTGTATAAATTAAGTTTCATAGTTTTATGTTGTGCCTCAAAACTAAGACAAATTTGTTCTTTTGAAATACGTTCATTCAGCGTTCAAATTGAAAATTACTTTCAAATTGTTCAAGAACGTCAGAAGGTTTGATAAAAACGAAACTTACCACTTCCTAAATAGAAATTATATATTTTATCACTTAAGGACTGAATTACTTCAAAATTCCGGAATTAGTGAACGTGTCTTATCGACTTGAAGTCATAATTTATTGAGCAATTATTTAGTGCTCTTTGTAATTTTCAATTGAACTCGTATCCGTATCCTCTTGTTTATTTACATATACATCTTCATTATTTAGTTGCTGTCTGAAACCAACCCCTTTTGGTATACTGTATTCACTAGCTGGTGTTGCCTCACCGGACGCCCGCAGTGACGTCTCTATCTCTCTGGAGCGCTTAGAAATTACACCATCACGTGCTGGTAAACCAGAGGCTAAAGTCGCCTAAGCTTCATTAAAGACGGGAAAACTAACCAAGGCCGTATAAGTCTCTGGAAGGAAAGATACCCCACGGCATCGCTCATTCCGCTATCGGAGAACCTTGGCAAACTTGGAAGTTTCTAAATAGATTGCAGACTCGAGTCGGCCGGAGCAAGGAGAGCATGCACAAGTGGAGTTATAGCTCGGAGAGCGCATGCATTTGTAGTGTTTCTCCCCAGACTAAGGCACATCTTTTGTTTCCTGCGTGCGTCTACACTTGCACGTGCTAGGTTCTGTACAAAGCAAAAAATGCAGTACAAAATTCTCTTTTAAAAATAGTTAAAATTACTTAACGGGTTCGACTTATCGGAATTAGCCTGACGATGAGTAGCTGAAATATCAATTAAACAATTTCAATGTTCTAAAACTGAGTTATGGTTTTTTACGATATCTCAAAAAAATATTTTGCAATTATTTTGTACCTAATATCTCAAAAATACTATCCTCACAAATATAAACGTCGGAGTGGTCACGTTAAGAAGAACATTACTTAGTTGTTTACTTAGCTGTATAAATTGCTTACTTATTCACTTGACCTGGTGCAGCGACCCAAGGACGAACTTGGCCTCTGCAACTAGAAAACTCCATTAACGTGCACACACTCATAACCTCGCACTACGGAATCCCAGTATCGCGGGTGCCATGGACAAACATAGACAACCACAAATTACTAACTCACGAGAGAAATAAATGTAGGCCATAGAAATATCTCTCCCGGCATGGGAATCGAACCCGGGATCTCTGCAGGCAGTCCAGCATGATAACCGTTCGGCCACGGAGGCAGTTAACGCAGTAGGTTACAAATAGTGTGGAAAAAGCTTTTAGTCTCTGCGATAATCCTACATAAATTCTTGACAAATTTTTTTTTTTGGAATTGATGCTATTTTTATTCTTTATTAAAAAATAAGTGCGCATCTGACCTCTATCTCACCTAATGGAAAGCGACGATGAGATCGAAGATCTAACACGCACACTTAAATGGTGCCTATTCACTTTCGCCCCGAAAAGGTCTAAGCTGTAGAGTTCGGGGAACAAGTTTGCAGGCCGCGAGTGTACATCCTATACATACCAGATTGCAATTGCTCACCGCCTAAAATTGGATGAATATCACCGTGTTTTTACTACCATATATTAATATTTTTGTAAAAATACCTCAGTAGTTTGTTAATTACTGACACAAGGATAGAATAGCGCTAAGAAAAATTCCTTCGATCTGACTGGACCCGAATCAGGGGGTCTATTCAGAACCTTACGATAACTCAGTTGTCGACCGATCACAACACCCAAATCGAACGTCAAACCGTCATATTCGAAACCGAACCGAAGTGACATCACACCCGTACGATTACTCGAAGTTCTCGACCGGCAAAGCCTACATACATTATTCAGAACACAGTTATTTAATGAAACTTACTGAACTTCCTATTGTTTACAAAGCAAGAATGTAATATGGAAATCTTGTATTATTTTAATAAAGTCTGGATTCTGTTCAATTTTATTAATTTATTTTAATGCATTCCTATATTTTAGGCCTTTAAAGTCTTTAAAATGTATATTTTAATTTTTCTTATAATTTATATCACCGACTAACTCCGTAAATGCTGTTGAATAACGAATGTTCTAAATACTTCGAAAAGCGCCTTTCGATTCGAAAACGATATTCAATCGAACGATTCGGTTAAAATATCGAAGATTTCTGAATGGCGGCCAGGGGGTCTACTACCATTCTTCGTTCGACATTCATTCGAAACAATTACTGTCAAATAAGTACTAATAATGAAAGCCTAAACATTTGATCAAATTAATATAATAAGACGCATAATGCGAACCCCCAGAGTAATTACTAAGATTTGACTCGATCTGTAGCCAGTTGGTTAAGCTCATGGCCCGAGTCCAGCAGATCGAAAGCTTTTTTCTTTCAGTTATTACAATAATATTAAACTACTTTCCACGAATGACATAGAGTTAATATCTTTCTGTCTATTCACAGTACGATCTACTGCCACGGCCCGCTGCTGGACACGGTGCAGATGGCAGGACTGTACAACGACTCGAAAACCTTCGTCGATATGAAAATGAGGTCCTCGCCTAACATCACCATGCAAATGTTTCAAGTAATGATGAACAGGTTAGTTAACTTGTATGAAAAGAAAAAGCACCTAAGCGCTTGTGTCAAAGAGCCAAAACACTTGTGAAGCTGGCCAAAATTGTAGCAAAAAAAACGAACCTCGAATCTGGTAAGTACGGGCTTACCTACTAGATGCGAGATTCGTTTTATAAACAACAGACACAAATATGAATAAATAAATATTAGACATATTAGATACATTGCTCTTATCCCAAAGTAAGTAACTAAAGCACTTTTGCTATGGAAATCGGAAGCAATGACGGTATCACACACTCTTAGACCCGAGACAATATAAAAGTTAGTTTCTGCATTGATCCGACTGGGAATCGAACCCGGTACCTCAGAGGTAGCGACACCATAAAAACCGGTATGCAAACCACCCTTATCACGGAGGTCGTCAATACATCGGTCGGCATACTCTTGACTACTATGTCATCTGATGGTAAGCCTATGGTACAGGCATGTTTATTTTTTCTCGGGGCACTTTTACGCGGAGTTTACGCTGCTGAATTACTCCGTCGAAATTACGTTCGATCGTAATGAAAATACATTACAAACGTCGTATCTGGGAGTTGTGTGTTAAGACCAGGAATAATGGCAGCAGCGCATTCATCTTGATTATGAGGCTACAAGACTTGAGCATGATGCCTAAGGTTGCTTGTGCTGTTGACGGCAGCGGCGCGGGCGCCGGTACACGAGTGTCGCGCTGTAGTTGTAGATAGTCATCTTGTTGCTTACGCACACCTATTTTTCGATCAATCAAATTTAGAAATGTCGTCGGAAGAAATAATTTCAGCAGTTTTAGAAAGACCACCAGTATGAAACAGCAAACATATTGACCGTAAAAATGAAAGGACTGTTAATCACTATAAAGTACCATGTATTCCAATTCAGGCTTGATATTTGCAGCAATAAAGTAGACTTTGTTGCTGCAAATATATGTGTTAGAACACATCATAATCCATCTGAATAAAAGAATGAGATACTATAAAAAAATCACGTCGCAGTATTGACACTGTGCTCACATTCTTGTGACGTCACTTTACCGCCATCACCACGCCGCGCCGCTCTCTGTCCTCCAGTTTGTGGCCTTAGGGCGGCATCTTGGGAGTCTCTGATGATGATGGTATGCATACTTTTCGATTTTCCAGGACGGGTCATCGACCTACGAAAGCAGACATTCAGGAATTCGTCAATCAGAACTTCGACGCTGCAGGATCCGAATTTAGGGATTGGACACCGCCTGATTGGAAGGAACGGCCTGGTAAGAACTGTTAATTCGTTTTAGTCGTAGTAGAGCTCGTTGTGAACGAGTTCGTCCAGGGAATTACTGCCACCATACCTGGTTTTGTCTGCATTACTGCGGTTTTGAAGGTGGTGAAACTACACACGGGCCTTTGCAACTTTGTGACTCAGTGTGGCTTGGATTTAAAGCTCTGAGTTGCAATAGGCGTGTTGCTTACCACCAGGATTCTTCGTCCCGTGACCCTTGAACCATTCATCATCGTCTTTTATACGTTCCACTTCAGTGCACCGGTCTTTGATGTCACATAGCGGGTGAGGACGTGCAAGTTCATTGCGATGTTTTTCTTCAATAAAAAAACTAAACTGTATGTGTGTTTAAAGTCAGGCCTCACTACGGGAATTGAACTCAGGACCAATTAGACTTAAAACTATTATTTTGTTATTAATACACATATGCTAATACTACGCGCTTATTCAAGTGCGCAGTTACACTATATGCATTTTGCTAGAATCTAACTGCAATTGGAATGTCGCTAGTGTGAATATACCTTGAATTATACTGCAAATGTTCCCACGTTATGAGTTATGTATAATATTAAGGAATTCATATATCACCCGCACTTACCAAAGGTAATCGTCCGATAGAGCGAGTTAATTTTCTTATATCTAATTATGGCCCTAACACCGTCGGTGACTTGTGGAAAGGGCGAAATTGTCATTTTGAACAATTTTTCAGGGGCGACTATTTTAAAACATTTACGTTCAGTTCCAAATTCAATTTTAAAACTTAAAGTTAATTAAAACCAAAACTGAATTATAAAACAGGACATCAATATTTTAAAACCGCCGTTAAAATCTAAAACATGCTCCCCTGATAGTGGTGCGAAATGAAGATGTATAAATACGGATAGGTAGTTTATTTACATTAAAAGGTACTTGTACTGCGAGTAACTGCACTTGCAAGTAGCTTCCTATAAGGACTGGAACAAGTATATAGCAGTAGGTCGAAGAAATGAAGAAATGGTCAAATATCCATTTTAATTAGAAGAAAATAGAGCACAAAATTCTCTTTTAAAAACAGGCAAAATTAGTTAACGTGTTTGACTTGTCAGGCGTTATCCTAACGATGCATAGCCGAAATATCATTACACAATTTCAATAATCTAAAACTGATTAACAGATTGCACCTAAAAATAAAATAAATAAATGGATAAAAAACCATACAATACATACATTGACTTACAAATAAATGGACGACGGGTCTAATACAAAAACC